GCCTGACATCACGTAACCCGCTCAGGGTAACCTTTGACCCACCTCGCGTGGACTGACCAATGCGGAGAGGGTCTTAACTTGAGGCCCTCTCTTCATTGGTCAGTCTGCATGAGACTGACTCTCAACTGACGTTCAAAGTCATAGGCAGCGAAGCGTCTCTGTGCAGCGCAAAAGCCCGGGTGGACAGTTTGTTTAATGTAGGGTGACCATATTTCCATTTCCAAATAAGAGGACAGGGGATCTGTGCCTATGACATCACACTATGGCAACGCCACACAAACCATGTTGGGACCCATTTTTTTGTAAGAACTAAATTAATATCAGATTCTGCCAATAAAAGGGCTCTAAAACAGTTCATATGTAAATATTTTGCATATTTATTGCAAAATCTCATTTTTCTGCTTTAGTGCTGCAACAAGGTTTTATTAATAATAAATTATTATACCTTTTGTTTTACTACAGCATCGGTAAGCTTCCTGTGCACAGATTATTAAGGATGCTTGTTTCAGCTGTGAGATTAGACGATAGGATCAATGAAAAAATAAGCTGTCACACACTCCATGGAAACTTTCAGAGAATCCACAAATAGTGGCTTTCAAATGGTTTTGTTACTTTTTGCAAGTTTAGAAAAGAAGCTGATGAGACAGCATGTCTGATAATTTAGTTTTTCATCTGATAACATGTCAGCGATGTCTGAGGGGCTTTTACAAACACTGTATAACTAATACACCTGGACAGGGTATAAATTACACAGAGGCTTCTGGGGAGCCCAGTTATGGGGTGGTGGGGGGTGGTGGTGGTGGTGGTGTGTGTGTGTGTGGGGGGGGGCATTTTGCCTTGGCCCCCAAGATGTCTTGAAATGGCCCTGGGTGTGTGACTGAGTTTTGAAGGTGATCTCCATAGATCTGAATTGTATCAGATGTATAAATATTACATGTGTGTAACTTATTGTTTTATACAGGTAAAAACTTGTAGTGGAGATAAATCTACCTACATTTTACTTTTCAACACTTTGTTTTGTTTTCTTGTTTTTATTTAACTATTTTCCTGTCCTGTCTGTCTCTCATCTTCCTGCATCTCCTCTAAACTCTCCAGAAAATCTGCTGCCTGGATTCTTACTTTTTCACCTCATCAGTTACTTTTGAGCAGATCAAAAGGATCTCCTGACCGTAGCGGAGTGCACGTTTCGATGCTGCGTCAGTGAGGTGAAATCACCGCAGCACAAGTGATGAGCTCCGCAGTAGCAGAGCGCTTCAGGCACAAATAAGACAGAAAGTGGAGAACATGTGCGGACATGAATGATCGTGTGCCAATTGTAGTTTTGTGGTTGCGCCACTTTGAGAATGGACTGTGCGCTGGAAGCAGCAGCCTGGAGCGCTGAACTCCAACGATCAGCGCTCTGCCGCTGTCTGTGCTCTCTGCTCAGAAGAGTCCATAAATGATGGAATGTAGGTAGAAAACTTATGTTCCAGCTCCCCTGGATGTGTAGGATATACAGCTCAGCTCCCCCATAATTCGATCCCTGCTCCTGGATGAAAAGCCGGACATTTTCATCAATACAAGAACCCCCAGTCCAGTCGCCCCGGACAGAGTGAAAAGTGGACACGGTCCATCTCCTTTCCTTTTTGTATTGTTTTCTCTCTGTAAACATGCTGTTAACTTGCTTTGCACATCTTCTAACTGAAATGTGTCTTTATCATATATATATTATTTTTTCATAAGCTTGCGTTTGGTGCCCCTCCCCGGCGTGGTGCCCTACACGCTGTGCGTGGTGTGCGTGTGCGGAGCGCCAGCGCTGATCATGCCTCTGGTCTCTGTCTGGCCAGAATCCTCTTCAACATCACAGGCAATGTCCTCCTGGTCCAAACAGTGCTGGAAGTACCGCCTTGAGTGCCTCATGAAGCCCTGACAGGCCTCAAATGCCACATCTCCACAAGCCTTCTCCATGGCTTGAAGCAGTGAGACCTTGCTCTGTGGATTCCTTTCATACACCTTCCACCTCCAGGCTGAGAAAAAAATCCTCAGTGGGATTGAGGAAGGGGGAATAAGGTGGAAGGTATAAAACGGAACACTGTGGGTGGTCCTGAAACCACTCATGCACCTGGGCAGCCTTGTGGAAACTTACATTCTCCCAAATGATTATATAGTTGACCTGCTGTGGGTTATCTATGTCATCAGGTTGAACAAGCACATCATACAGGCCGTTTAGGAATTCCAGTGGCAGGGCTGTTTTGTATGCCCCTAGTTGGGCATGTCGGTGTAGGATGCCTTGGTGGTTCATGGCTGCACGCATACTGGCGTTGCCACCACGCAGGCCTGGGACCTCGATTATGGCCCGCTGGCCAATCACATTTCTTCCCCGTCCTCCTCCTCCTCCCATATGTACCCCTCTCCTTCTGTTGTCTATTGTCCCTGTTCTCCATTGCTCATCAAACAGAGCATCAAGCCTCCTTTTATGCTGCAGTCCCTGACTGCAAATTGCTCGCCAGACCCGAACGTTTAGAGATTTGAATAGTTGTGTGTTGTTGAATGAAGCTTTGAGAATTTATGTGAGAAGTGTGTGTAAACCTGAAAATTGTGTGCTGTGTTTTGACAGCAAGGTAATGTGAAATTGACATCAGAGTGTAAAGGAGGAAAATCAGAGTTCTAATATAAGGAAATCTTAAGTAGTGATAAATTGAGTCAAGCGATTGTGAACAGAAGTAGAGGTTGTGAAAATTGAGCCTCATTTTTGCTTTTTGAGTTTTATAAAATAAAATACATTCACGTCACATCTAATCGGTTTCTCCTGAAAACCTTTGATTAGAAATATGAAATAATGAATGTTTATGTTTTTCTCACAATTTAAACATGTTTTGAGATAAATGTTTAATGAGTATTCTATTTTTTCTGCCTGCTTCAATTTAGCTGTTGGTTCAAAAAAACAGGAATGTCAGGAATGTGACTCATTACAAATTTCTAAAGATTTTTTTCTTCCCCCTCATATATATCCATAAACTATAATTTTGTAAGGAAGCAAATGGATAACATGTTATTAGTACAAATTATTTTAAAAGCCTAGTTATTCATATGCACCTTCTTATAACAGGTCACAAATCTTGGCTGACATGCTCTTTTCGGTACAAAACCTGTTAAATTGCACCCCACCAAAAAAATAAATTAATCCACCGGATACCACCTCTGACCACTAGAGTTCGCCAGAGTGCCCTGGTTCCACATTCAACTTGACCTTCGGTATTTCAAGATGGCACATGACTGCGTCAACCACAACTTATATAAATATAAAATTTCAAGCCAACAGCAATATTTAGGATAGGCTTTGGTGAGAGTTATTAAAGGACACGTTTAATAGTTTTGCTGAATTTGATAGTAAACAAGTAAAAATATTACAGGTGACTCCATGACACAATTCTTTTGTAACAGTACAGTTACAGAATGTCCCTGACTGAGTGAGAGTGCAAATATTTAGTTTTAATTAGAAAAAAATATGTTCTCAAAGAAAAAGAAATATTAAAGATATTAAAGATTAAAGTCCCATTGTTGTCACACACTGGTGTGGTGTGGTGAAAATTGTCCTCCACATTTGACCCATCCCTGTGGGAAGCAGTGAGCTTAGGATCAGAACTTGGGGACCTGTGAAGACTCCAAACACAGTAAGGCAGTTAAGTTTAATTTATGAGTCAGGGCTTGGTTGAATTACCCAGACTGTGGGAAGAAGGCAGAGGCGTGATCGAGACGAGGCGAGGCGAGTGTCAGAGCCGGGGAGATCCGTAGTGAAGACAGGAGGGGCAATTCAGAGGCAGAATCAGAATCCGTGAGGTAGATCCAAGGTCGAGAGTCCAGGTGGTCAAAGGCAGAGAAACAATCCAGGCAGGGAGCAGGCACGTGGGTTGGTCGACGAAAAGAAACAAGGTCAGGATCTATGGATCATGCAGAGGTTGGAGCGCTGGAGAATTTACTGGTGAAGTCAGTGCTGGTGCCTTGCTGGACGGCAGGTGAGCTGGATGTCTTGATTACAGGGTGCAGGTGTGATGAATTAGGCTGATGAGAAGAAGGCTGTAGTTACAGGGGAAACAGAGCATGGCTGGAACATGACAGGCACAGCTGCACTTGGAAACTATTTGATGGTTTAACTATCCAACCCAACCCCTTAAAGCTGAGTGTCAAGCAGGGAGGGATTGGGTCCCCATTTTTATAAAGTCTTTGGTATGACCCGACCGGGACTTGATCTCCGATCTCCCAGTCCCAGGGCAGACACTCATACTGCTGGGCCACTGAGCTGGAGGTTCATTAATGAAGTATTACTAAATTTAGAGGCTGGTGTAGGCAAAATCTTTTGCATTGATGATTCTGGTCAGAAGTAAAGAAAACCCTGTGACACTGAGAGTATTTGGGCTTACAAATAAAATGTATATGTATATGTCCATCCATCCATTTTGTCCATCTGGGGTCGCGGGGGGGTCGATGGGCAGTCAGGCGGGGTACACCCTGGACAGAGAGCCAGTCCATCGCAGGGCAACACAGAGACACACAGGACAAACAATCATGCACACACACTCACACCTAAGGACAATGTAGACAGACCAATCAACCTAACAGTCATGTTTTCAGACTGTGGGAGGAAGCCGGAGCACGCCGAGAGAACCCACGCATGCACAGGGAGAACATGCAAACTCCATGCAGAAAGATCCCAGGCCGGGAAACGAACCCAGGACCTTCTTGCTGCAAGGCAACAGCTCTAACCACTGCTCCACTGCGCAGCCTCATATATATGTATATGTTTATATTAAAGTGGATTATAAATGGCTGCATGGACAATTAAAAAAAAGAACTTGGTTTTAGGTTTAGAATGAAAGGGTGAAGCAGCATATGTGATATTACAAATAGGTCTAAGGCTCATGAGCCATCAAAATGAGAAGCTCCACCCCAGGTTCAACCAGGAAGCTTCAAGTTGACTTATAAAACCGCAGATGAATTGCAGAGTACAGAGCACACTGCACTGAGGGATGAAGGATGAAGAAAACAATCTTTATCTTCCTGACACTGTATTGTTTTCTAGCGATTGTACTTTTTGCTATTTATTTTTTCAGCAAAAAATATTGGCTTACTCATATGTTTTTAATTTTACATGGAGCCGAAAATTTAAAAGATAGTTTTCCTTTAAATACTACAGGACACAGTCAGGTGACAGAAACATCAGAGGTCTGGGTAAATAAGTCAGCTGGTGAAGAATTTCTGGGAGCGTGTCCTGAAACTCCTCCAAACCTTCTGGGTCCATTTCAAGTGGAGTTGGAAACTGTTAGGACTCTTGAGGATGTCAGAAAGCAGGTTGGTTCTTTGCTTCAGGTGGGAGGACGGTACAAACCCCCAGACTGCATCTCTAAACAGAAGGTAGGTGAGGTATGTGATGGATGAGCTGACGGTAAATATTCTGTTGGTTGATCATTTTTGTTTTATTTTAATTTCTATGGGGCACAGAGAAGGAAGAGCCTTTTGATAAATATTTTGGCACACTATAAAAATACTATACTGCCGTGAGGCTATGGAAGGTATCAGAATTTTTCTAGGAGGTATTTTTGTTGTGGGAGGGCCCCAGTGGTGTAACAGTCAGAAATATTCAGAATTCCTAACTAAAAATAACCAGACATGGTCAAAATGCTGCGTGCAACATTTTAAAAAGCAGAGTCCAAAAGATCTGTTTTGAATTTCAAAATTTAGCATTGAGCATTAGCAGCTCCATTTGAGGTTACGGGTGAAATCACTGATGAGTTGAACCCCTGGTCTTTTAAAGAGCAAGTCACCCCTTACAAGAAGCGTACTTCACTCCCACCTCATGTTTGAAAAATGCAACAAATGCTGTTGCCTAGCAGACCGAGAGGACGGAGCCACTAACAAAAACACACACAGGCTCACAATGGCATTGTGACATCATAATGTACCCGTTTACATCATAGTATACCTCTTAGCCAATAGTGGTGGCAGATTTAAATTCAAATACAGTGCAGAGTTTTTACCCGACGACAGCGCAACACTGAGTTTTAGGCAGAATATTTAAATTTTAACTAAGATGAACCGAAGTGCAAAACTATTGACTACGCGTGTCTGCAGCACGATTAGACTCTCATTTACAGAGTTTATCAGCAAAACAATGTTGATTTGGGGGTGACTTGCTCTTTAAAGGCAAAAGGGGCAATTAGATCTGGTAAATTAACCACACCAGGGCTGCCAACTTTACATCTTTTCCATGCATGAGAACAGGTGTGTGTGTGTGTGTGTGTGTGTGTGTGTGTGTGTGTGTGTGTGTGTGTGTGTGTGTGTGTGTGTGTGTGTGTGTGTGTGGTGTTGCCGGGTGGGAGGTAGGGAAGGACCGTTTTCCCACCATCCATTTGCTGTGAGAGCAGGGGTGGTGGTGTGCTTCAGCGTGACATGTTGAAGGCGTGGCGTGAGCGAATGAAGAGGTTAAGCTGCATTCGTAAGGGTTGGCAGCCCTGCCACTCAACAAAGAACTTCACAAGCTGGCTTTGGTGAATGTTTAAGGAACTTGCAATCTACTGTCGTGAAGAGCATCATTTGCAAATGAAGATGTAAAGTAGTTAAGGCTACCAAGTGTTGCTCTGCACTCTGATGGTACTCAGGTTCCTACAATAGATATTTCTGAAAGAGGGAAAAAAGATCAAAAGGTCAGAGTTCTGACTTTTTCCTCATAATATCATTTTATTCTCATAGATCTCAATTTTAGTTCTGGTAGACTGAGGGCAAAAAAAGGCGCCTCGAGCTGTAAAGGTTGCAGAATCATAGTGGTCAGGAATGCTGCATGCAATATTTTTAAAAAGCTGACTCGAAAAGATTCATTTTGGACTCCAAAACTTTGCATTTAGCATTTTTTTCAGTGTGTTTGTATGTTTCCTTCGCAATTTGAAGGTAAGGGTGATGTCACATGTTGATTTGAAACCCTGTCTATTAAAAACTTGCCAAAGAAGGCAGTTAGATCTGATCACTTCGCACCCGGGTCACAGACTTTTTGAGCCGCTTCCCTCAGGCAGGAGGTTACGGTCCATCCGGACCAGAACCTCCCGCCATAAGAACAGCTTCTTTCCATCTGCCGTTAGACTTGTGAATAGCTTATAAACACACAACCATGCTCGTCTTCTGTACTCGACACAACGTCACGTTATCGGCCATGTTGCCATTACCTGCCATTTTTTATCGCTGAAAGTTTTATTCTAGTTTTTTTATTCTATTTTATTCTATTTTTAATGTTATTATTCATGTTATATGTAACACATTAGTACCGAAGCAAGTTCCTAGTTTGTGAATTGTTTGTTCACTGACAATGGCAATCAACCTATTCTGATTCTGATTCTGATTCTGATCACTCAACCACACAAGGAATGCCTTGATGAGCTGGTTTTGTCCAATTTCTGAAAAACCTGCCAGACATGGGGGTTGGGTTTATACAGCGAAGGTTTCACGGCTTAACCACAGGGAAATATTCCATGACTTTTAAGATATCCCCAACACCATCAACAGCATAATAAATAGACAAATCAGTCAGAATCAATGGTAGATGGAAACTGAACATGCTGTCATTGGACTTTTGCCCTTATTATCCACAATGAACACCATGTTCAAGCATAAACGTGTCCATATGTGCTTTGTTACAACCAGGATGTTTTAGGCTGCAGCTTGATTGACTAGAAATATGATGAAATAATGATGAAATATTTACATTTTAACACATTTTATTTAAACACCTTAGAGACTAATGATTAGTGAGTATTTTTTTATTTTTTTCTGCCTGCTTGAATTTTGTTGTTAGCTTAAAAAAAACAGGAATGTGACTTGAAATTTCACATTTTTTAAAGATGTAATATAATTATTTTCAAATAAACAGTCATTTTTTTATTTATCTGCCCATAACCCATCGTTTTGTTATCAAGCAAAGAAACATGTTAATAGTACAATTTTTTTTTAAACTTTGTTAATCAAATGCACCTTCCCATAACAAGTCATGCAAATTTCGGCTGGCATGCTCTTTTTTTCGGCAGAAACACACAAAATCATAGTGGTCAGAATGCTGCATGCAACTTTTAAAAAGCTGATCCAAAAATATTCTTTTTGAACTCCGAAACTTTGCATTCATCATATTTTTCAGTGTGTTTGTATGTTTTGGAACTCAGTTTGAAGGTAAGGGTGATGTCACATGGTGATTTGAAAGCCTGTCTTTTGAAAACCTGCCAAAGAAGGCGGATAGAACTAGTTACTCACCACACAATTAATTACCTGTTGAGCCGGTTTTGGTTCAATGTCTGAGAAACGTGCCAGACATGGGGTTGGGTTTATACAGCGAGGGTTTCACGATTAACCACAAGGGAAATATTCCATGACTTTTAAGACCAACACCACCAACAGCATAATAAATAAATCAGTCGGAATCAGTGGTAGATGGAAATTGAATTTGTGCATGATTTCAAGCTATTTGGAGTAGTTGATGATAAGTTGTCTTGGGGGAATCATATAAAATACATTGTGAAAAAATGGGCAGAAGTGTAAGGAGATGTATTTTGTTTTTAAACGCCATCTTCCAGAGCTCTGGTTAAATCTTTGGTGCTGTCCCACTTGGATTACTATTCGGGGGTGTGGTTGGGTGTGGAAAAATAATTGACTAAACTTCAGACCGTGCAAATGAAACCTGCCAGACTAGTCCTAGCACTTCCCTTTTACTTGAGGGAAGGCACAACGGCTCTAGATGAGAATATTTTATGGCTCAGAGGGGAGGACAGGCTCAGCTGATTTTCTTTTGGAACATTGGTCATAATAGACAACCTACAACTCTGTATGCAAAGTTCCAGTATATGAAAGACCGGCATGGCTGTTCTACTTGACAAGCTATTCCTGAACACTTACCCTGAGACCTAGAACTGAGGCAGTGTGTAGATCAGTTTTGTTTTCTCTTTTGGTTTGTCACTGACTTAGTGAACCTCCATGGAGCTTTTTGTTTGCCTGATTTAATTTGTAGCTTTTCTGTTGCAATGGCATCAATGACCTCTACCTAGAGTTTAGGTGTTGAAGTGATTTAGTAGGGAATCAACACAGTTGGTTGAGAGACTTGTTGACATATTCATAAGTTCACTAGAACAGCTGGGTTACGATGGGTAAGAGGTAAAACTGAAATCTCAGAAAAAAAAACACAGAAATGGTCAGAGAGGCCAACATCCTTAACAACAATGTCTGATACATCAACATCTTTGGTTAAGATTAAACCTAGTGTGTGACCTACAGTGTGTGTTGGAACATGAATATGCTGGGCAATGTCAAATAGTTCAAGCATTAAAAGGCATTGTCCTGCAGCTTTATCATTTGTGTCATCACCGTGGATGTTGAAGTCATCTTTTATGAGAAGATAATTGAAGTCTGATGTGATAACAGAGAGAAGCTCAGTGAAGTTTTCTAAGAAATTAATGCACAACCCTGGAAGTCTATATTACTTGCACCAAGATCTTGAATGTACCTTTTAACTGAAAACAAAGATACTCAAAAAAGTCAAAGTCACCATAGACTATTTGTTTCCAAATGAATGAGTCACTAAAAATAGCAGCTACACCACCACCTCTCCTGTCAGATCGAACCAAGTTCTGATCGAACCAACCTCAGGGATCTGCTGGGGGTGTAGGGACTGAGAAGATCACCAATGTATGATGGTGCTTGTCCATGTAAGCCCTATAGGGCTAACTTAGCTAACCCAAGAAGCTAAGAAGGGCTCCTTGAACCTGGGTATCCCACCCGCACGGCAAACTGTCTCCCGTGCGAGGCTATAGTCATGCTGATCTTCTGTGGAGATCTAATATGGACTGGGACTGTTAAATTACAAGTGGAGCCTCAGACCACTGCGATCGTAACTGGGAGCAGTGGCCTTTTACATCAGCTCTTGTTCCACGGTCGAGAAGCAGCGGGACATTAGCTACATGCTAACCCAAAGTTAACTGAGTTCGTCAGGCCATGTTCAGAAAGAAAAACACAGTAGAGCGACTCCAAAGTAAAGGCATCTCCAGCCTGCTCAGTAATGAAATCATAACTATGTAAGCTGACTGAGGATTAGGGTTGGGCATCGAGCATCGATTGGAACCAGGACCAACTGTTAGTTTTTCCCAGAATCGTTCAAAGTTTTTTTATTTTGACAAGTATGCAGACAGAAGAGGAATCCGCGGCCAATCTCCATGAAAAATAAACCTGATCTGCACACTGTGATCCACGCTTTTCAGAGCTGATCACACCAGCTGTCTGTGTGCAGCACCAAGTCCCCCCTCCCCTCACCCAGATATAAACAAACGCGCCTGCCGGACTTTTACTCCGTAATGTTAAACTTTAACTCCTGCAGCGTAGAGGAAACT